AAGCAGCCAAGTGAATAAACTGTGCTGTACTGAAATTCCTAACACTAACTGCTTCCAATTTAGAGAAATGAGCTCCAGTTCCAAACCGTCGCTTTGAACGGGAAGAAATCCTCACAAATTGCAGAATAACCTTTTTTCTTAGGCAATCAACTAAACTGGGAGGAACAGCATCTCTTGGAGCCCAGAGGTCCATGGTTCATGATAACACTTAAAGAACAGCCCAGTGAAGGAAGAGCAAAGGCTCTCACGTTAAATCAGCCAATTCCTGCCTGGCCTATCCTAAGCTACAGCTGGGACCTGCTGGGGTGGAGCATAACAGGAGTACTGGAAGATTATTTTTGAAACCTTCACTTTCATCACCAAGCTTTTACATTTTCTTCAAGTCTCAGTGCCCCAGCACCACCTCTCTTGCCTTCCTACAGAGACAGCTGATGTCAGGTGTTCAACCACTCCAGCTGAAGGAACTCATGGAAGCTGTGCCATAACTGTGCATGTTCTCTCTTCCATTTGTACTGTAACAATTTTCCCCACATATTTCAGTCACAATCTACAATACAGTATTTTTATTTACCAAGTTGATGGAACTTGCACCACGATTCTTGATCCTTCTAAACTTATCTGAGGAGCATAGGCTTCTTTATTTTCAATCTGTGCTGTGTCCACAACCACCTAASAAATAAAATTAAAATGAAAGGGAAATTATTTTAAGAATTTATTATTTTATCACCCCTGTAGTTAAGCTCTAGTAGTCTCACCTCCAGCCATGCTACAAGTACAAAAAAAAACCCCAAATAAACACAAACCAACTCACAAAATCAATCTACATTTGCTTCTATTTTAATATATATGTTTAATATAAAATTAGTTTAGTACAGAAACCTGTATTTAAGGACTCAATTCTTCTCAGTTACATCCTGCAGTAATGTATCACTGCGTAGTTACCAGCAGCTTTACCTCCCTGCTGGAAGTTCTCAATGGCTCCACACAACAKCCCTGACATTTGAGAAGTTTAGCACAGTTACTACTTTAATAGCTCCCAAACACCTACTCAGCAAAATRTTTTAAACAATTTAAGTAAATGAATGGTATGATATCAACAAGTAATATTCAGCTGAATATTACCTTCAGAACTCCTAACATAAACCCCCCCACCCTTTTAAGGTTATAAAATTCCACACCAACATTTCTCTACTCTCCCCAATGAAACTGTATTAGTACTAATTCCTGATTGAATAAAGAAAAATGACTCTTCAGTTTGTTGAATTCTGAGCCATCTGTAAGATGTCATGAACACACATGGAAAAGAAGAGTCTTGAAAATCAACCCTGTGACATGACTCYTTCTTTTTAGGGAATGGAAAAGGAATGGATTCGCTTCAGCTTCATTTAACYTTTAATTTAGTGATAGTAAGTTCCATATGTGGTTCATGCTTTCTGTTGTTGTCCAGCCTGYGTGGGTTGGCCTTTTTGATCATTTCCATAATTTCCTATTTTGGTCATGCTGAAACAGCAGCTTTTTGGCAGCAGTCAGCAGTTCTTGCTTCAGTGACTAGCAGATTAGCTGTACCATTTATCCTTGAAATGGCAAAAGTCCCCTGGTACAAATAAGCCTCAAGGGACATTACTGACTTTGCTGCCATGATTTAACCTATGCTAGTCCTGTTTGTAAGTGGCTGTCTGTTACTGGGTATGAAAAAATGTGAAACATGAATAATGCTGACTTTCTCCTCTCTCACTTTTACAAAACCATCAAGTAACACCTGAATATGATTTCCCACCTTTCAATATTTTAGCATAAGACTTCCGTTTTCCTTCAGTTGACTCTAAGCATTTCCCAGGTTTATTTAATATTAAACACATCTAAACATGACAAAAGGCCACATTATTATCCACCCATGAAAATACCTCTCCTTTTGTAACAGGGCAACCCCAGCACTCTTTTCCTTGTGTTTGTACTTTTTAATTTTATGTAATTTGGTAATCTGCAATTCAGCCCTATTGCAGTTATGATAAGGAGAAATTAATTCAAGAGTAATTATTTTCAACTCCCAAGAAAAGCACAGWCTGCACCTCAGACCTGAAGTCAGAGCTAAAACTCTGATTTGTGCAGACCTGTGTTAACTTCTGATTGTGGTGCATGGTAGTGCTCACAGTCTGGGGTTTGTTGGGGTGTTCCCACCCTGGACACCTTCATTTCTTCCCTCTGAAAAAGGCTTTACATTTCTCAATATTTGTCAGAGTTAGGACATCTGGGATTTAAACATTACTAGGAGATTTAGTGCTCCTGCAATGCATGTTGGTTTTTGCTATGAAAAGATGTACTAGGATAAAAAAAAAAAAGGAGTTTTAGCTGTTAACCTCTCTGCATGAGGCCAATTGGAAGTTTTATTTCTGCTCATCCTCTGAATTCAGCTATTTTAATGTACATTATTTTTATTCAAACATGTAGATGTCTTCAGCTGACCCAAATCTGAAAATACAATTCTTMTATACATGCTACAGCAAAAACTGAAAATCCGCACTTCAAATTGTTTCTTATGTTAAAAAATTACAGCCCAAAATAATCAAGCAAACCAAGTCACATCTCATTGTGCTTTCCACAGTTAAGTCACTTCTTAAAAGRCACATGGCAAGATGGGTTAAAACCACTGAGACTGTCAAGTAATGTTATTTTTTCAAACTGGGCATTTAAGTGACAGATGCACACAAAATTCTGAAYGAGTGCAGACAGCTCAGTAACTAAAAGCAGTACCCTAAAACCTACGTAATATTGTGTCATGATTCATTTATCTGCCTTCTTCACAAAATAACCTTAAAATAAACACATCCTCCCTCCCCGCCTGGTGATGCTTAGAGAACAGCTTCCTGTACCTCAGCCATCCATTGTTCTTGTTTTACAGGTGCTTCCTCTCTCACTTCCACCCAAAGAACTCTTTAAAGATGCAAATAACAATTTCTCATCACTGTATGAAGCTACATATAAGCATAATTGGAAGTTGTAAAAAATTATGGCACATAATTTATAAAGAAAAACCTCAACCCTCACACCCCTCTGAACTGTAACAAAAGTGATTATGAATGAGAGAAGGTTTGCAGGTCTTCTGTCATGTGCACAGCTCATTRTGTGTCTTTCAAGAGTGAAACCTGCTCCTTTCAGAACCTGACGTTCACTCAAAAAATCTCTAGAGACATTCAGGATTCAACACAAGTAAAACTCCCCAGCTCAGCACTGTCATTTTGGGAGAACGTGTAAGTAAGTTTTATGCTGACACTCTCCAAAAGTGATGACAAACCTGAAGAATGTCAGTGCTTCAATTACCAGCAGGTCTAACTCGTTATGTCTAGACTGGGGTCACCAGATTTCCAGATTCCTGAGTCCAAATGTGCCTSGTGCCACTCCTGAAACCTCCTCAGGGCAGGAATTGGGTGTGTACAACACTGAAACCCCCTGGAAAGGAAATGGTGGAAGGTGCAGCATCCTCCCAGGCACTCCTGATCCAGACACTCGGGAGCCAAGCACTGCTCTGAATTACAGAACACTCCCATAGGGCTGCTGAGAAACTCTTTCTTTCTTGGCCTCATTTCCTGTGCCTTGCTGCTGACTCCCAGCAGCCCACCATGAACTGTGGCWGCTGAAGACACAATCCCATTTAACCATATCCTCTTTTCTAGTTCTCCTTGTATTTATTAATATTTAATACCTGTTTTCCTTCAAAACACCTAAGTAGAAATCTGATTAATCATACTATTCCACTGTTTCTCTGTCTCTGCAAAGACACCACCTTTTTGTGCCTTCCTGTAAAACTTTTTAGACAAAGCACTACCATCTCCTACCCTTAAATCCCTGCACATCAGTGAAGTAAGGACTGACAGCAGGTGCACTGCTCTTTAGGACAATGATGGTTCTGCACCTCTGATTTTAGGCTGTCTCTATATTAACAGTTATTTGAACTCCAGTATAATTTGAACCTCCTTCTATAACATTGTTTAATATTATGGGAATATCTAAGATCTGATATCTAGTATCAAAGGGATGCTAAAGTAGAAATACCTGGTAAATTCATAATTTTCAATTTATCATTCACCATTGCTGGAGAACCCATTAACAAAAGCACATCATTTAACTAGCTAAGATGGAAGGTCTAGGTCACTTTATTTGCTGTGCGATTTGTCTGAAAAGCAGGACACTTACAAAGTGTGCAGCTATTTGGGTCCTTTAATCAGAAATCAGTTTKGAAGCCCTCATGGTCTCCCATCACCTTGAACAAGGACTCAGCACTGAACCAGCAAGAAGCATTTAACTCCCTTCAGGTTGAAGACAATTAAAAGAATACCTGACAAAACTATTGTAGGTGTGTACCTTTATCCTTGCATTTCCTTCCTATGTTGAAGGTRTAGCCTTGTCCCTTACTCACAGTAGTCCAAAAAACCCTACATGTCATGTGCAAACACTTCACTAAGTGAAGAGAWTGTAGTAATTAGTCATGAGAGCACAAATGCATTTTCTTATCAGAGTATGTTCCAASCATCTATTTTTATCAGCTGCTTAGATACTGTTTTCTTACCCTCAAGAACACATATGTCTACAGCAAGGCATTTWATTGCTCTGTCCTCTGTTGGAGATGTCAGGTAGCATTACCTGGTGCAGAGACTTGCTGGTTTATACTGGGATGGAAACGCAGCTTTCATTCAAAGCAGAGAGGAAATGAAAAATTGACAGATATTTGAAACTAATTTGAGAGAGGGGTAGATGTGTGTTTGGGTCTGATTAATTGTTTTAACATAGTCATCTAGAAATTTGAAAATATTTCTATTCTCTGTGAATTAGAAGTTTCATTTCTTRTGTGCTCTCTCTTGTAATGGAGACCAGGAAGTGCCCAGTGCATTTTTCTGTTCTGCAGGAACACCACCTGAAGACTCCCATTCTACAAGGATACATTTTGCTCAGAAATCAAGTTAAATGCAGCACCAAAAATAGAGCAAAACAGACTGAGACACTGAAAATTAATTTCTAAACTCCAAAATAGCTAGTTTCTCTTCAGGGTGTTTACATAACCTTTGTTTTCCTAAGACTGTTGGCAGTCACCTACCAGTCCAGCCTGGCCAAACAAGAGCTGCACAGCAGTTTTGCAGGCTCCTCTCCACGTGGAAGGGCAGACCTGGTTCAGTACTTCAGTCACGGGAGAGTCGTCCCGGGGTGTGAGTCCATTATGGCATCCGGCTTCCTTGATCAACTGCAGCATTGTGTGCTGGAAAAATAATAAACACTCTGTCCTACCCAACACATGATTCACAAATGGTACCACCAATGCTTCCAGATGGATTTGTCATTGTTCTACATGCTTTTCAAACAGCTATAATGTCTGCAACCTCTCAACAGTCTTGTATAACTAGGAGAGTTCCACTGCAMAACAGAAATATGAAAGATTGTCTCTGCTGTTTGGAAGACAATACTGCTCCAAAATCATAAACCCATTTGGCTTATATTCTTGCAAACCATTTTAATCAAAACTACAAAAAGCACTGCAAAGACAACAGAAAAGCAGCATTTTGAGTCACTGATTATTTCAACTCTTTCAGAAGCAAGGAASTGGGCTTATCTAAAAACAAAGCGGAAGTGCTGATTAAAATTGCCCAATTTAATTGTGAATGGATATATTTTCCATTTGTTTATACTCAAAAYACAATTAACCTCTCCATAATTTGACATTCTTTTAAAAACATTGTTTCAAGTTTGTAAGATAGTATCAAAAGGAGCTCTGTTACAAAGTATTATTTCCAAGTACCTCCCTTAGCACCAGGCTGGGCTGACTTAGTTCAGCACCTGAGAAGATGAAGGCTCTGACATGCATCACCCGATGGGGAATCTGTGAAGGCTCATTATCCTCTGTTCTTGAAACCAAACCCATCTATTTTCAGTAAGTACACAGAAGCTACATTGCCTCCTAGATTTCTATGCCTACGCTTCTCTCAGACTGGACTGAAATTGCTCAGGTGGTCAAAATGTTATCAGAAACTGGTGTGGCCTTACAATGCTATCAACATYGTGTTTTCACAGGAAGCCAGGCTGAAAAAAAGCACCTCTAAACACAWGTTTGGTACTGAACTTCTATTACTGCTGTTGTCTCCATTTTAAGGAGTTGTACTCTTTCTCCCCCCACCTTTACCCCTGTGGTTAATTGAGGGTTATTACCGTTTTCAGCTTCAGGTTTTCTGCTGCAGACTCATTAAAGGAGATTCCTTTCAGGAAATGGGATCCGATCTGGACAGGGACAGTGGGCAGCTCACACTGAATGGGCTGAGGTGGAGTCTGTCTCCTTCCTGTTTGCTGGGCTTCAGCTTCACTGCAACAGCCCTGAAGTTCAGAAGAACACATCAATCAAAACAAAGACATTAGAAAATCCTAATATGAGTCCACGTTTTTGTATATTTTAAGTAGTCATTTTCAATGTGAGGWGGGATGAAAGGTTTAGCAGATCTTACCTGAAGACTTGCTTCAATAGCTTTTGGGTTCAAGTGGAAGCCAGCCTTCATTGCATATTCACAATGGCCCAAGCTCTCCAGAGCCACTTTGTAAGCCTGACATTAAACAAAAAGTTGAGATAGCACATCAGCAAGGAAGCAAACATGCAGTCACTGTGTCTGGGTACAGACACAGGTACACAGGATTGGTACAAGGATTTACCCTATTCAATTCTATGGCATATTCATCACACATTTATCACATAAGATTCCAAAGCTGTAATTCCCAAATACCTCYGAGCTGTCTGTGGTACACAATTCTGCGGGAGCACACTCCTTCCCTATTTCACTCCTTGACCTACTGACTGTACTACATGCACATGAAAGCAGCAGACTTGAAAAACCACCTGCAAAGCACTGTCAATTTTCATGTTTARCTCTTTGAGCTGATGTTCAGGGATGGCCACACTCTGTGAGCAGAAAAGTTGCTGAACTTCAATTCCTGCCAAACATCCATCACAGCCTCTTTCTCGCAGTCGAGACGTGGCCTGTAACRTAAAATAAAAACCCAGGGTGAGAAGGGTCAGCATTAAACCAGGTCAAGCTTAATTAAATTGCAAAAAAGAGCAAAAAAGCCCACAGACTCAAAAACTTTCTACAGGAGATGAGAAGAAGCACCTTGGGAAAAGAACCTCGAGGAGACTTTATTCAACTTGCTAAAATTCAGAGGAAGCAGAACGCTGACATAACCTGWACAGCACATGGGGGCTGGCCAGCACTTGGATTCAGCATTGTTTGCTGTCACTATTTCAACTCCCTCTCAGGACCAGGGATCCTCTTACAGACCACACCATGGCTGTGGTTACCTGAGGAGGGACTTGTAATTCCAACATAAACTTGCCCCAGAAACAGAAGTCATGTTAAATCATGTGTACCAACACTCTTGTGTTCATAGATGATCCATTTCCTAAATGGGTGATTACTGTGGTGCAATTTGRGAAGAGCCACACAATGCTAAGAACAAATCAGCACAGCAAGAAAATAGTTCTGTGTCATGGGACTTTGAAAAACAAGAAATAAGAAAAGCCAAATATCTACTCTTAGCTGTAAAATTCTACATCACTGAGCAGGGTAAAGCAAATAGATGTGYCTTATTTTCCAGTCTAGGAAGGAGYCTTCCTCTAAAGYAGGATGTCCAAATTGAAGAGTTCAATGGACAGACATGCACTCACCTCACAGACAGAATTACTGCATTTCCCACAGTAAATCTTAAAGAGCAAAACCAGTTTTGAGCTACTGACAAAGTATCACCTTAAACTTTACCGTGAAGCAGCAGCGTTTTCCTGCCAAAGATGCTGATTTTATAGGAAAACAAGGGATTGTCTTCCACTCCAAAGTAAAAACAGGAAAACATTTCAATATTTCAAATCTCCCTTCCATCAAAATGATTTGTATCTATCTAGTCTATCAACCATTATAAGTGAGAGATATTTTAATTATTTAAAAACCACAGATTTTTCTTATGCTATCCTAATACCCCACACAAATACTCCAAATAATTTATTTCAATCATAAAAATCAACAAGTTTCTTCTATTGTTACTCTGGAACTATGGAGAATCTGTATTTTTATCTTTCTCCTCCCCATGTATGTTTAATACAGGATTTGATTAGTATAGTATTTGTACTAAACTGTTTTGAAATACAGGTTTTATACTTCTGAAAAAAAGAAATAGCTGAAATGGGTTGTTAAGAAGCTAAAAAAGAAAGTGAAGATCCTGGATTCTGTGAAGCCAAGTTTAATTTTAACCACACCACACTTCAAACAAATTTGATAGCAATTTCAGGGCTATTTCTAATTCCTAGAAACTGTAACAGCTTTAAGAAACTAAACATATTACATATAAAATTAACTACTTTTATACCAAGGGAGACCTGTTACAATTATCTGTAATATACCTAAAGCACTCCCAAATCCCTATTTTACCCAGTGAAATAAATTTATGCCACAGTAAAAATCACAGCTAATCCCTCTGCATTCATATAACTTGTTTGCTTTCCTATACCTTGCAGATGTTAGTGATAAATGGAGACCTTGACAAGGTTTCCAGTCAGGATGACTAACAAGCCATGTGGGACAAATGAGACTGCAAAAGCACATGCTCCAGGTCCTCTAAATTTAGGGAAAACACATACTCTGTGTCTGAATGCATTCTGATCTATCAGTCTGCAGACTTCAACAGTGCAAGGGAAAKCAGAAAACCTCATAAAACTGAATGTCTTTGTAAAGTGCTGGTTTTGGCTGGCAGAGTAAGGATGCCACAGATGGCAGATATTTGCAAAAGTACAAGTCCAGAGAGTGGCACATTTAAGTAACATGGGTCACATTCCAACAATGGATGGATCAAAGCAACATCAGGCTTAACAGCATGAAGACAAAAGTGTTAAAAATTACCAAAAAGATTTTAAAGTATAAAATAGAATTTGTGCTCAAAATTTGAGAGAAATAGACATTATCCAGATTATTCTTCATCAAGATTTTGTTGTTTWCACAAAGACTTGTGCTTTTTATTTTTACTTCCCTCTGTCTGCCCCATTTGAAYATTGTTAGTTCATCACAAATAACAAAAATCTGTTCAAACTGTTTATGTGCTCCTTATGCACAGCCCTATCCCAAAGAAAACTACACTGGGCAAATATAGTGCCATCATCACATGAGTAAAATCAGTTTCAGTGTCTGAAACCAACTGTGCCATGCTCCCCCTTTCAAATGCAGCATGTCCTTAAAAGAAAATATTTTCTTCCTCTGTTAGGACACCCAGGCTGACTTCAACTTTCACTAAATTTATTCTGTTTACAGCAAGACCTTCATACCTCTGCTGCTCCTCTCCATGATCTTATTGCATCTTCCAGCTCATTTGTGGGGCTTATATTTGAGGCTCCAGTCCCACTAATGTTCTTCCTCTCCTGAGCTACAGCTTCAGCAAAGCAGGAGTGTGCCACTGGCTGGACTTTCTGCAAAGCTTGTGACAGGAATTGGAAGTGGACCTGCATCACTGTCAAGAAACATCGCCCAAGTACCTGTGGGAGAAAAACAAACCAGTTTCAAGCACGTGGAAGAGCTGGTGGAAGCTTCCCTTCTTCCTTTTTGTTTGGGGTAAGCAACAATGTTAAACTCTGATTTTTTTTTAAWTWAAATGATACATTTGATTCTAAGTAACACACGATTTTCAACCATTTACTTAAAATAAGAGTAAGTGCGCATTAGCTCCCATGAGTGAAGGGGACACCAGATTAACAATGAGTAAATTTTAGTTCTGTACTCAAATTCTAGCTACTTGAAGAATTAAAAGCTTGCTTAGTTACTTGGCAACATCAAGCACATGAAACAATGAAAAAATGGGAGTAACATATTATCACCAGGACCAAGTCAACAGCAAAACCCAGCTGCACACAGACCTGCAGAATTTCTGATAAAAACCCAAACCAGTGACAACACAGTATGACTCTTTTTAAAACATTAACACAAAATCCAAGGAGTTTGCCCAGCAGTTTCTCCTGCAGGCAGAGTGGTAATGCACAGGCAATGGGCATCAACAGCCTTCTGCTCCATAAGCCCAGGCACAGCACCCAAAGCTGAGCCCTGGCACTGTCACTGAAGTGCAGTTTGGAATATTGCACTGACCCTGCTCCTGCCAGGCTCTCAGAAAGGCCAAGGCAGGATAGGGAAGCCAAGGGCTGAGGGCAGCTCCAGCCTCAGCCAGGAGTGGGGTCCCAGCTCTGCACCCGTGAGAACTGCGCCCAAAATCACCCAGAACCTCAGGCACCAGAGCAGAACAAAGCTGGAGGGTCACAGGGCTGTACATTGTACACCCTGGCCACCCCACTGCCTCCAGGGCCACACTCCCTCAGCAGGAACCAGCTGACAACAAGTGTAACCAGAGAGCAGCAGAGAAGGAAGGATTTTCCAAATCACTGTAGAAGGTATTTAAAAGCTATKCAAAGTGTTTATTTTATGCAGTTTGTCACACAAAGCGCTTTAAAATGTGTATTTGGTTTTGATTTATTAAAAAAGATTCAACTTGAATTCCATTTTAGGAATAATTTGTAAAATATACAGATAATACACAAAGCCATCATGCCTTGGAGCCACTAAATCATCTGGCATATTTTCAGCTACATTCTTCTGGAATAAAACTATTCAGACACAATGTATCTTTCTGGGAAGACTCTCCAATCACATGAACAGTTGTATGCATTTACTATCTACTTCAGAAGAACCAGTAGTGGCAGYGCTTTTTTCCTCTGCACCCAGACTCCTTTTGACATTCCATTCTGGTTCAATCACTTCCCTTCTTTGTATAAGRCATAAAATTAAACATTTTTGGTACTTTGACTGACCTCTGAAAGTGGAGCTTGCCTTATTAAAAAAAGCAGTCAGCTAATGACAAAATGAAGAAAACTCCAACTTTCCTGGGTACAAGATTAGAAAGATTTATAAGAAAACTGCAGGAAGAGGCAACTGGAAATCTGAATTATTTCAGTGCAGRAAGAATGCAGGTCTCAGGGGAAGATGAAACTAGTACTCATTAGGAATTTCAAGCTGATTAAATTTCAAAGATTATTTAAGGTACAGAGGTTGAAGTTTCTCCAGCCTGGGAATAATGCTCAAAATAAACAAATTATTTAGGTTTTAAGTGGCAGCACATAACATTCCTACCGTGATTTACAATGTTCAACAGTGAAGATAAATAGTAACATCTGCTTTACTGAACTTCTATTTTGTTTGAAAAAAAATCCATTTCAGCCTTYCTTCAAAATGGGTAAGGATGGTTTTAACCGCTTCAGTATCAAARTGGAGGATGATTTTTGCACTGTTAAGCACTCCCTTTGGATTGATAGCAGATGCCAAACTCACTGTGCCTTGAAGCTCATTTGGTCAGATTTTCTGCCCAAGAGACCAGATTTTATCTATGGGGAAGATGCAGGGTTGGGCACTGACCCCCTGTGCAGAGCAATGCAGGCAATCTCTGCKGCACATCCCTGCACCAGTGACAGCATATGCATGCAGTTTCTCACAGTTAGAGACACCACCATCTCCTTCTCAAGTTTATTTTCCCTACTTTCCCATGCAGAATTGTGTGACTCTCCTCCTTTAGACCAGAATAAACAYAAACACTACAGACKAAGCYGGAATCAAAACTGAACTGGAATCATCTCAGGGATCAACCAGTGAGATTTCCYTGGGAGTGGTGATGTTTTCYTAAATAATTTYTTAGATTMATTTATATTGCATTAACAGTRAGRTCTTCAGCTTCCAAACTTCTTGTCCCACAAAACMCAGCCCTGGCRCGTTGAMTTCCCTGACCYGTATCCCAGGTGTGACAGCTGTTGGTSTTAGCAGAGCCCTCTCTAAAGGAATCTCTCCTTTCCTGCTGAGGCACTTGGAAGCAATGGGACTTTTGGCTCCCTACCAACAGGAGCACCAGGTGAGATGCAGTGTTAGGTTACTCTGTCCCACTTTATCTGCCTAATGGGGGCACAAAATCAATGTTGGAATATTGGACAAAGTGTACACAAAACTGCCAGCTTTCATTGCTAAACAGTGATGCCATGCAAATTCCCTGGCAAGCAAATCTTGTACAACAGATTCTTTAAAACAGAACACCACCAATAATAAAGTTAGCAACAAGTGTCAGTCTTCCACATTCGATCTAAACACTGTTTTGCACTTCTCCAAGTACCATTTTATGTAGCAGAACGTTTTTTTCTTTTTTTTTCTGCTATCTCCTTAAACAAGCAGAATGCTCAAAAACCCAAACACCACAATAGAATTATTCCCTTAACAGAGTCTTCAGTGGCACAGCCTGGCTGCCACTGAACTGGTGAGCCCCATTATGAGCTAACAGCCTTCCTGTACATTACTAGAAGTGGGCAGAATATTATTATTCATTTTTTTTACTATGCAGCAATGCCCCTGCAGCTCCAAAGAGTGATCCCATGAGCAGAACAGCTCCAAGGGAAGACTCAATCCATGGGAAGGAATCATCTGCAGGCTGAACTAGATTCCAGCAGAAGCTGCACCTTTACCCTATCAGGAGACTTGGGCAACCCAACAGATTCATTTCTTCTAACAGTGACCCTAAAAGCCACTTGTGATAAACTGATATTGACAGCTACGGAAGTGGTCACTATCATTTAGCAAGAAAGCTGAAGTGTGGTCACTATCATTTAGCAAGAAAGCATTTGAAAAAAAAAAATACCAGCAATTAAAATTTAAGACAAAAAAAAATTTTGCTAACAGTTCCTCAGCTCAGAATAGTCCAGAGCCAAATCCTGCAAATCCTAAGAAAGAAAAATTTTAAAAATAGTTAAATTGGGCTTTACAATATTTGCTGAGGAAAGTCTACATTTAATATTTACTCAGACATTTTTGTCTCACAAGCTTCTTGTTCAAAAATCTTGGGCTATTTTATACACATAAAAGGCAACATTATCTCCATTTAATACAAAACAGAGTACCCAAGAATATACCTGGTGCCATTTGTGCTTACCTTTTGGTCAGGAAGGCAACATGTATTTTCATTACTGCCACTTTTAAGACAATATACAAAGCCTGTGTAACTAACAGTCRTTCTTTATATTTTGCAGCACTAAAGCTTCTGCAAAGCTTCACAAGAGATGGGGAAATACACTTAGTTTTACCAGTTTCACTCCTCCCCACGAACTTCCTTTAATGCTTTTATTAACAGAAGAACAGTTACTGCATCCCCCAGCTGACAAACAGATAGGGAAAACATACTCTCMTTTACCCTGATTTCCAAGCTGTTCCTTACCCATACAGGCACAAAACACCCGAGAATTCAAAGGTGTTTGAAAGGGGAGACTAAAAAGAAGAAAATAAAAACCAGCATTTGCATTTCTGAAAGTAAGAAACCTTGGGAAACTCCATCTGTCACAACACTTTGATCAAGAGAAGTCACCTTCTTACACAGCCTGGCAAACAGCTCTGAACTAGCAAGCTTTGTTCTAAGTAACAATAAATAAATTAAAAACCTCACCTCATGGTGCTATAGTCCAGGTTGTGCAACATTTTGCAGTCCAAATTCAAGGCAGGTATGTTCATCAAAACTTAAGTTCCTTTGAAATTGCCTTCCCTGGGAGGCAGAACCCRTTACAGTAGATAAAGGAATGTGGCACCTCAGAAAAGCCACAGCTCACTGCTCGATTCCTGAAGCCAAACCTGCTCTGCTTGGACTTCTCATTCCTCCCAAAACATACAGCCTGTGTTAAGCAAGGTTTAGGAAAATTGCATTTTCCTTAGCTGGGCTCAAGYACAGAAAATGTCTCATTCTCACATCCTTTTCATGAATTTGGGGTTCTGTCCCATTGCACCCTGAATTACAACTCACCTCCCACTGCTTCTGTAACATCAGCCTCCATCCCTCAAATAAGAGACTATGGAGAGCCATTCTTAGGGCACTGCTGAGCTGCCACTCAGGTGTTTGACCATCTCAATTCCTTCTCAGAGAGCTGTAAGTTCTTTCAGTCACCTACTAGAAAAGCTGACAAAGCAACGTCAGATTCACCTGTATTCCCCTCCTGGTATTTTCCAAGGGAACAATTATGCTGCCTCACACTCTTCCCCCGTCACTTCCCTGCTCAGTTAACTCTGATGAAGTCAGGCAAGCCTTCTATATTTTCTGCTTACATTGTGAGTTTTTAAAACCTGCTGGCAGTTTTACAAAATGTTAACTTCTCTATCCACCAGGGGGGAGAAAAGCAAACTACACTTTTTTAATTAAAATTCCAGCATCAACAGCTCAGTCTTCAAATCCCAGAAAAGCACAATGGGAGAGGATCTCACCAGGTCACCCTTCCATCCCTAGCAAGGAGTATTCCACTGGGTCATTTTTGCCAGGTGCAGGTTTTACCTGTTCTGTAAGCTCTGCTCCCTACCCTTTGCAGCAATCCACAYCAGGCTTCCACTAACATTACAAAGCATCTAATGTGAATCTTTCATTCTGRAAAGTTCCTTAAGTTCCTTGCTCTACCTTACACGGACATGAAGAACAGACAATGACATGTTCTGGCAGCTTCTCACATACCTGAGCAATTCTGATTTTCCTTTTTAGCCTCCTCTTCTGTAGAGTCCATCTCTTCAGTTTAGCCTCTGATGTCCAGTTTCCCAGATGTCTGACTACTCTTGCTACTTTCCCTCTGCTGCCTCTCCAGTTGCTCCCTGTTTCTCAAACAGCACCAGCAGTGCTGGGCACGTGCACTGYTGTGTTAAGGCCATAACAACTGGTGAAGAGAGTTCACTGCTCAGTTCACATACTTGTGTGTTCATGTTAGGGTTGCATTAAACACATGGTAAATGCCTCTTTGCACAACAGCAACAGTATTGATTTATTATTTGTAACTGCACAACACTGACTCTTACCCAACACACGACTCCCRTAAGTCCTGGGACTGTTCTCCAGAACTGCTGCCCAGTGGAATCCACTCCTGACTGAAAAAGACTATTTAAATATTGCAACATTCAGCTTTTCCCTCTGTATTCCACCCCAACTGGAAAACTCATTTGCTCAGGATTATTTTTAATTCAGCAGGATTCCCAGCATACGCATACCCTGTGCTTTTAAGTCACCTACAGACTTAAATATACTCCTGTACTGGCCCCTGCCAAGGTCCATTGCCACAGTGAGCAGCTGGTGCTCCCACTCTTGTGCCTGTATCATTCACTCATCTACCCCACACTCCTGACTGACCCACAGAACAACCACACGAGTCGCTGTCAAATCCTTACATTTTGCCACTGCTTAAGCCAAAGCAGAGCACAAAACTTGCCTCATACAAAAGTTATGACTTTTCAGAACCATGTGCAAGATGCAGTTTTAATTAAGGAAAGATAGAAGAAAAGTAAGATGAGAAGTGGTYGGACTGTGCAGGCAGGAAAGCACAGACCCAGCTGTTCTAGTGGCATTCTCCACACYCTTGTTCCCACCACAGAGCTGCCAGGTGCCAGGAGCTGCCTGGAGCCCAGAACAAGGGTTAGGCCTGCCCAGRTAGAGCAAGTTTCTGTGTCCTTGTTTTAGGCTGGCAGGATGTGCACCCAGCCAATGCAAACACTGCTTTGCTTCTGCTCCTCTCTCCCCACTGAGCAAATCCTCCCTGAACAGCATAGAGAGAACCAGCACCTACCAGCACCTGCCCAGGGCACAAAAGCAGTTCTACACATGGMTCCAACACTTGGAAACACAGAGTTTCCAAGTCCACAAAAACCCCCTGAAGACACCTAGTGCTTCATATGTTTCCGTTTCTTTAATTCAGTAAGTCTATTATGAAGATCAATTAATTACATAATCTCACTTTTTTATTTCTATATTGTTATAGCTTTAGCTAAAGAGTGATGTTATTGGATTGTCTTCTAAAATACCAGTCTACAGAAGACATTTATAACAAATACAAAGCCCATCTTACTTCATTCTATACCAAGCATGCAACACTGAAAACTGTAGCACCCAACTGCAGAGGGTGACTGACAAATTGTATCCTCCTTAACAACTCCATCTGGAAGTGGTGCAGTTAGAGAAAGCAGATAATGCCTGACAGGCACATTCACTTTTACAAAGTTACCTAAAATCTAAATCAAAACCAAGAGAACTTAAAAGTAAGTCTTCCACTCARGGTGCAGTGCTGAAGGAATAACTTTGCAAAGACTGCTAAAAAGTAAACAAATATGTCAAAACACTAAGAACTGCTTAAAACTCCATGGATTTATCTGTAACTGTCACTAAGACTGCTGCTACATAACACATTTAGAGGAGAAATACCAGACCTTCCCAGCCAGGCATGACAGGGAGTTGGGGATCCTCTCTGAATCCTGATTCATGGGCACTTGCTGCCAGCATACGAACTTCATAGCAAAGTCATGACAAATATTTACAGCACTAATCCCTCACAGTGTRGTATTTTCCTCTTACACAGAACAGCTCAAAAGGACAAAAATGTTCTAAAGAGTGATCAAATATTATTAGTCAACTAATATACACTTTTACTCAAACACATGACAATATGCTACTCCTACGTGCTCAGGTTTCCCCTTGGAACAGATAATACCAAGGAACGTGTAGGCTGATTTAGAATATGATGCCTTAACATTGTTAGAAACATTAGCMAAGATAAAACAGAAGGTGTTTTAAAACTTTTGTCTAGTTTGTTCTTCTAAAGAATACCTACTAAATACATAATTTAACACAGAGATAAGAGGTCAGATCCTGCCAATAACATGGTACTTTCTTAGTACACAAGAAATGCACAATTTCCTTTTTCGCTAGCATTGGCAACAAATACATAGCAAGGGGGAGAAAACTTTTGGTGGTGTAGAAGGGATTTGGAACAAAAATCCAGTTAAGAAGGAATGACACAAATTCACATGCTAATCAGTATCCTCCAAGGTAACTTACCTCAATGTCTTGTAGGCTGAACTCCTTTTGATCTTTGAAGTTTGCAGCTCCCGCACTCAGTTCCATCAGCATTTTTGCTATTTCTGGTTTTATTGCTGCTGTGAGTCGACTCGCCGCTTCCATGACATGTTCCTGCACGTCTTTCAGTTGCATAGCTGCCTTAGAGTAGTGCGAGTTCCTAAATACACTGCTGAAAAGGTCTGTAAGGAAAGTGCTTGTACGGCAAAACACGTTGAGTGCATCCAGGTATTTGGAGATTCCCTGCTGGATGTCTGCGATTGGAGTCGTGTGGGAGGCGGGGTGGGAGCAGCCGCCCGCAGCAGCCGGGGACACCAGGGGGGTGCTGGGGGTGGCCAGCGGGGCGCTCAGGGTCCTGCCCAGCTCGGGCATTTGATACTGCTGGTGTTGCTGCACTTTCTGCTTGGACCCGCCAAGCAAAAAGCGCCGCTTATAGTCCATTTTGCTTTCTTGTGCACTGCAGCAATACATAAGTGAGTGCTTGTCCAGAGAGTTCTTGAATTAACAATCACTTGTCAAATTCCTTCCTCGAGTATCTATGTACAGTAATAGCACGGAACTGTGTACATAGGTTTCACAAAAGGCATTTCAGAAAGGCAAGCATCTGTATAATCTGTATCAGCAGTGGGAAAGGCAGCAGATTTGCTGACTCTGTGTTTTCAGTGTTCAGTGCAGCCCTGCTGCAGTTATAAACTGTACTCAAAAAGCAAGCCCAAGTATTGTAATAATGCTCTGTCTCTTGTTTGGTATCCCCTCTGCACACAGAAAGACCAACTGCAGCAGAGAAATGATCGCCTATGAGTTCTTCATGAGCATAACATTGTCACTTGCTGTTACATCTACAAAAGTTAAGTTTGTCAATGCAAATAATAGTTTTAGAAGCAATACCTTAATACAATTTTCTCATTAGTAGTATCAGGAAAAGTGGAGCAAACCACYGATCAACAGCGATTATAAAAGCAGTGCAGAGGCTCCTTCCTTGAAAAAGAAAATCTGTATGTCAGCAGATCAAATATCTTCAAATGCCTTGACAGATCCAGTCTGCCAACTCAGTTTACTTGCAGTGTCTCTTCTTAATATTGGAGGGGGAAAATAATCTGGACTGTTTACAGAGGACTTTGCAAGTATAAGCWATTAAAAATTAGAGTGTTTGTTATTGCAAGCCTTCTTCCCCTTTCCCKGTTTGTTGAGGTAGTTGTTTCCGTTGTAACATTAAGAAGTGGTGCTTTCAGACTGCTTTGCCCTCAATTGTAGACTCAGAAGAAAAATGCACAAATGTATTTGTAAGGCCTCTAGGTCATTTCCTGTAAAGGGGAAAAAAAATTTAAATGTTAGAGAACAATGAGAAGGTTTAAGAATTTGACTCCTGCAGTGTCCTGGTTCACATTTCTGGGCACACACTGTCAACACCACCCGAGATCCAAAGGGAGGGAGAGCCRCACTGACAGTTCAAAAGGCTATCACAAGTTGGTGTCACCTGTTACTAAACTCAACACTGTTCAATATTTTCTTGTTAATTCTTTCATTCTAGGCTGTCAAACTTAAGACTCTATTTAATCCCCAGTGCAAGTCTTGCACAGTCAAAACCAGTGAAAGGTTATTATTGCACAGCTCAAGGGGAGTTAGTCACATTTTCTAACCTCATCCTTTAAAAATAATTAAAGAATGAAATAAATTAGAACTTTTTCATGCACTGTAATTTATTGCAGAACTCTTCATTTAATAGTTTTCTAAGTGAACAGATACAGGTCTTATACAGGTCTTCAGGTCTTTTTTTTTTTTTTTTGTAAAATAACATACAAATCTGCTTAATCCTACCTGAGTTTAGCCGAGAAATAAAACATGCATTTCAGTGTGATGGGTGGTATCTCTCACACGCAAGGTGGTATATGAGGCACAACTGCCTGAGAGATTGCTCTAAATAACACTCTCAGCAGACATCAAAGTAGGGCAGAAATACAACTTCTASTACTGCCTGCTCCTACTGGCAAACCCTGGGGCTGCTGGAGAGCCAAGAGCTCCTTGAAGGCATCTGCAGGAAGGTGAACGGAGCCTGAACATTGGGAAAGACCAAGATGGAGCACAAGGTGTTCAACACAAGACACTGATCAACAATGTCAGGACAATATCAGAAGGATACAATTCCTTCCACCAGTTTGTCCAGTCCTAGCTCAAGTCACACACTTCAGGCCACGCTCTTCTTCTCCTACACCCCCCTTCCCCATCTTGATTCTATCAAACAAGGACATCTTGTTCCTTACTACAGCAATTGAAATGAACAAGGATAATATAAAACAGTAATCATTTTTTTTTCCCTGGGTACTCAAAAGAATAATCCAGGAACCCTTTCATTTAACAACAAAACATTCCTTTAGCTATTGTATTTGAGAAATGAAATCTGAAGTAATATTGTCAAAATAGTTGGAGAACAAAGGTTTTACTTTCAGACAAAATTTCTCATTTCCACCTGTCTGAACACACAAAATATTCATTTGCTCCCATTTTGGCACAAATGTAGGATACAAGTATCCCACAGATAAAGAAGCAGGCAAGAAACAGCAGGAGAAACCAACACCCAGAGCTAAATAGTAAAACAACAGGACACAAGTTTTTCAAGAAGTCGTTGATGCAGACGGTTCTGCTTCCAAGATCTAGAGCAAATATTCTCTTGTATTCCCACTTTTTAAAACTTAAAACTCAGAAGAAACTCCCTTATGCATTTCAGCATCTGTAAAGTACTCCAAGCTGACAATTTACCTCCCTAACTGCTTTATACGTCTCTCAACAGTCACACTGAATGTGTCAAAATACAATAAACTCAATAAAACCATAATTTCTAAGGAAGTCTGTATATCATAAGCATAGCTGAAAATAATTTTCTCCTTACTTTACAAGCTATGGTGCCTTACAGTAGGAGAGCATGATTAAAGTGGTTTCCTTGATTGCATATATATGCAGATGGAACAAAAGAGCTGGTTAATTTAATTGCAACATATAAGTAAATTAATGCTTGTTTTTCTTAAGTAGATGTGAAATTTCACATGCTAAGAGGAACTTAAGAAATGATCATAAAAGAAAAAATCAAGAAGGAGGGGGTTTCAAGCTCGAGGGCACTGCATTCGATGAGACTATCTGAGATGCAACTCAGCTTGGTGGTTGTGTTTACACATGGAGCCTTTCCGATCAAACACACCAAACTCATCATTTGAATGGTCAATATTTAGCCAACACAGAAACCTGCTGCATCCTGAAATGCAATGAATAGGAAAAAAAGGTGGTTTCATATTTTCTACAGTTATAAATAGACATGACACATCATTGTGTTTTACTTATAGACAATTCTGTAGTCAAGCTTGCAGATACTTACTCAATTCTTCAGCTTCAAAATTCCCTTGTAATAAAATCGACACAGAAGCTTAAAGAGGACAGCTTGTATCTTCAGCAGACATTTATTCACAGAGAGGAAAGCTGCACGCCTCAACACCAGATATGTGTCTGTATGCTATGTCTGAAACTCTATAATGAGCTCTCTGACATGCCATATGCAAAATAAACATTTCTCCTTTTGAATCTTTTCCTGAAAAAGTGAAGTGCAGAATGTTCCCACACTCTCCCTTCCCTTTCCCAATGCTTCAGCTCCCCACTGCTTTCGGTGCATGAATGAAAAGTGAGGGCTCCACACTGAACTGGATGGACTTTAGGTCAATCTAACTCTTGCCACATTGGGGAAAAAAAATAATTGTTTTTCCCTCTAGTGATACAAGAACAGCATGTTATCAGCCCAAAATATAAACCGTAAGTTTGGAATTCATTTTGTAGAAAACAGAAATACTCGCAGAAGCCAAGTGAAGAAATCATCAAAGAAGTTACCATACCACAAAGAAACATATTTTAGTTCTTCCTTAATGTAATCAAACCAAAACAGTGCTCTTCGGGTGCTATTAAACACTGTAATAGAACTAATATATAGTATAAACCAGCTCCACATTGAACACCACCCTATACAAAGCAGCAAAACGCTACTGGGGGTGCTCAGGACACTTTATACTCTCAATTTAAGGAATTAATGCTGAAGCCAAGGAACAGCAACTAGTTTGKACTATGTGAACTTCCAGAGAATCAGACAGCTGCACAAACTGCTCTAAAAATGGCCATGTTTGCAGAGAGGACACAGAAGTTGCAGGAAAATGAGTACGAATGCAAATTGAGTTCACTATATTTTTTTAAATGTAGCGTCCAAGAATTTTTGCTTAGATGCTTCCCAGAAAAATKCTTTTTCCCAACTTCACCAGTTGCAAGAGATACAAATTAACAGCGAAGACTTTCAGCGAAATGGAATTTGGTACCCTCCAGTTTGTTTTGGACAAGAGTGACGGGTCTAATCCCCCTTCAATCCTGTTTGGAATTACCCTGCTAGAAAAGAAGGCAACTTTTCCCCTGAACCAACACAGGAAACTGAGCAGAGGAAGCAGAGGAACCTTTAAAAAAGGTTCTGACCTCAACTTTAAAAACTGGTAAAAGTCTGTCTTGCAAAGGTGTGCCTTATGGATTCTGTTGACCTTCCAGCGAATATGCAATATAACACAAAAGAGTAAGACAGTCAATATACCTAACTTTTTTGAATGGTACACTTCATGCTATTTCATGTTGGTTTTAACTTTATGGGATACAAATTCCAAATCTCAGGAATAACTTAACACTGCACCCACCATTCATGTAGAACAAAGTAAATTAAACTAATGTTCAAAAAAAAGTTAACTCCAAAAGACACAAGTCAGAGCAGCCAGATTGCTTACTCGGGAAAAGCCTGAACAAACAAACCCATTGCGAGGCCAAAAGGCCAGGAAGCTGCTAGAGCCAAGAGCCTCCCGTCGAAAAACACTGATTGCTTCTGGCATTTAGTGATACAAATCTTGTGCAAATCCAAAAGTTACTCCAGGAGGAAAGGTGTCATTCCACCTTCACAGTTTCCTGTCACTAACGTGTACATCCCATCCACCACCTGGCCAGACCACCAGAAGTCCAAATGGGAACACCTTAAAAGCAAAGGTATTCTAAATGGTCCTCAACACCTGCACAGCAAACTGGGAGCAGAAGGGCAAGGGAGGCCATTTCCTGAGGATTGGTCAGTGTCCCACCACATCTGGCTCTGGGCTAAAAGAGGGACAAAGCAACAATTTTTGTGTTGGCATCCAGCTCCAAACCCCCCAGCAAGGAAGCCATGGCTGGGAAGGAAGCGCAGCACAGAGCTGGAGTGTGCAGAGCATCCCAGGGCAGCTCACCGGGAGCAGCGGCACACGGCAGGGATGGACGGACAGCCACGGGGCAGAGGGCAGCAGAGCCCCGACTGTGCAAATCTCAGAGCAGTGTGGCTTGGCAACACGGGCATCAGTGACCCAGGAGAAATGGGAAGGAGCCCAGGAGTTGCTCAGGTGAGCACACCCAGCCCGCATCCCCAGGGAACAGCCAGGGCTGTCCCAGGAGCACCACATCCCTTCCTGCTCTTCCTCTCACACAGCTCACTAAGTGCAGGTAACAACACCAGTGGACTAAAACAGGTGGTGGAAACTCTGCCAAATAAACTTTTCAGAATTCTCACAAATGAACAGGTTAAGAAAAACAGTCACGTATCRCCAACTACTTTTGGGGAGGGATTTTAAAATAGGCATCATATTTTTAACAGGGAGTTGATTCATTTTACACTATCCCAAACTGAAGATGGATTACATCTACAAAACATATCCATTAAAAATACTAGAAATTGGAATCCACAGACCAGGGATTTAATATAAAGAATAGTTGTAATTTCAGCAACAAATCTCAATCTGACAAATTCAATTCTGACTTTGACTACAACTTCTCCACTATTCTCAATCAATACACCACATCTGTTAATATTAAAATGACAATAGGAATGGTACCTGTCTAATATATTCAATCCACCCATGAAGAGAAAATGTATAAGACGAAATGTGTGCAGGTTTTTAAAATTTCTTTTCATTTTCAAACACTCTTTCGAACATAAAACTTTTCAGTATAATACAACAGGTGAAACTACGTTTCAAAACATAGTTTTTTTTCAATCAACAAAAAGAGCGACCTTCAAGTAACGCTGCCTGGCAGAAAATACGCATTCACCTCTAACATCAGCCACCTGGCATTTCTTACCAACATCATAAAAACTTAAAGCATGCAAATGCTGTCATAGGAGTTGACAAGTATTGATTATCTTCACTACTMGGGCAAAGGAGGCTCAGGTTTTTCCCAGACTCACTCCCTCAACTGCCAGGATGCAGGCACAGCC